TTTAAGAAATGTGAGCTGTAGAAAACTGGGAGGTGCATAGAGCACCCACAGTGATAATGTGCATTATCGAAAAATAAAATTATGTGTGGAGTTTGCCGTTATATGTGTTCTTCGAGTGTCATCTTTCTAATAACGCAGCAAAGTCCTCTCCGACCCAGTCCGTTGCAACTCTCACCAAATCATCTTATTTCAATAATAAAGCAGTTTTATCGCAGTAATGGAGTCGTTTTATTGCATATACAGAGACCCACGAGCGGCGGCGCGGTAAAGTCGCTGAACACTGGTAGTTCGGTCCGAGGTTTGGATCCCGCGAACGAGCTGGCTGCATGGGTGTTTTCGTGGTTTTCCCCATGTGTAACGTGTATACGAATTAGAAAGTCCTCCACGAAGGCATCCATCCTTAGGCACATAGCCTTAGTGTGCTTTGCCATAATTAAATACATCATTAAATACACTATTGCATATACAGGGTGATTCAGAATTTATCATCCATATTTGGTGGGAAGTAGGGAAAGGAAAAGCAGATAAGAAAGTTCGCAGACGAACATGGTGGTTAGAGGACGCTGTGTGTACAGACTTCCATACTTAACAAGCTGTTTTGACGTTGCAGCCAGTCGTCATTAGACTAATGACTTTGCAAAAGTAACATGAACCGGTATACTTGGAATGAACCAGGCATCTTCCAGAACCCCCCCCACCCCCCCCCCCCCCCCCCCACCCCCTCCACCCCCCCCCCCCCCCACCCCCCCCCCCCCCCCCCCCCCCCCATATGCCCCCCATCCGGTTTCCCCCCCGTCCTCCCCCCCCCCTCCTTCCCCTATGCAACCGCCGTTGTGAGTCCATGCATTATAAGCCCACTGGTCAGCAGTTTCGAAGCACCTCCTTGAATCTGTAAAACCGATGCAAAGAAAATGTTACATGTAAATAACAATTTTATGCGTTTTTTCCCTTAGATTTATGACGTGATAACACATCCCCAACAGGCAGAATCATTGTGAATCTGGAGAATCTCTCTTTTAATGAAAGAGTTATAGATGAATGCTGAATTAAGATTATAAAGAGAGGATTTTTAAACAACATTTCATAGCATGACAATGTTAATTTGAGAAAAAACTAAAAAAAAAATAAGGGGAGATCCCACCAATGGGATAAATTTTACGTTTTCGTGTAAGTCTGTAAAACCGATGCAAAGAAATGTTACATGTAAGATAACAAATGTTTTTTTCCCTTACTTCCTTTCTACGTGTTCTTTCCATCATTCAACTGGGGTCATTTTGCCCTACTACATGGCATATGCGCCCATGCATTCCTCTGTGAAATCTCCTTCTTTTCCTATTCCCTATCTCTCCACCAAATATTGATGAATTCTGAATCACCCCGTATATATATAGAGAGAGAGAGATTTTAAAGTCATTATTTGAGCATTTTACAACAGTCCTTTCATTTGAGAAATACATTTGAAAAAAAAAATAAGGGAGAGATAACAGTCCTGATAAGTTTACTTCGCCTTATTACATAAGAAATGAGCTGCATTCGTGCAATATGTGGCATTCGTTATTTGAAGAGTACGTTGCAGTAATAAGCGGCAAGAATAGAATATATAATAGAACACGATGTATTATTTATTATAAAGTTATTATATTCGAGAAAGTATATATTGGTAACTAATATACAATTTCTGATTAAGTTTTACTAAAGTAAATGCATATTCTAATTTGAAACAGGAAGATACTGAAGTTGGAAACATTATGAGTTAGAAAACATTTAAATGCTGTTAAAATTGGTAGGGATTCCCTTAGCTCAATTACCAATTATTCAATTTTTTTTTTTTTTTTTGGAACTAACTTCCACTCGCATTTCTTCGGCAGGATCGATGTGTACATTCTTACTGCGGAACGCCTTTTGTAAATAATGCCAACAAGTTCCTTAACTTAAAGTGCTAGTCCAGCACTACTCTTTAGCCTTGAATTTATTGCGTAGAAGTCGCCAGGTTCCTTAGTAGAATCTTGTAGAGTTTATGTTTCCAAAGAGAACACGATCCCACAAGTTGCCTGAGAAATATCAGAAGAATGTTTGTTCTGGAGAAGGGTTAATGAAAGGAAAGTGTACCAGTTGCAATCGGATGTCTCGTGATTTAATTATCGCACGAAATATCATCTCAATATATTAAAAACAATTTCATAGCATTGAAAATGTTAGGCGTTCAGATTCTGATAACTAATTATTTGAAGTTATCGTGGTACTCGCTTGGAGGTTCGAATCCCACCAATGGGCTGGCTGCATGGACGTTTTCGTGGTTTTTCCCATGCAAAGCACTTGAGATAGTCCTCAAGTGCATTGCCATTATGAAATACACACCAAAAGGTGGTACTCGCAGCTTCTATCCATTTTTTTTTTTTTTTTTTTTTTTTTTTTACGTGGAAAAACAGTATTGATAGTGGTAGTTTGATCGATGTGTACATTCTTAACTTTTGTAATTGCCCAAAATCACATAGATGTGGCTTTGCGTTTCTTGGTAAAGATGCATAAATATTAGTGGCCTCTGAATTTCTTTTAATGACTGGTAACTTTAAGCATTCATCTTTCTCGGCAGATGAATACTTCTGTTTCCATGGTATCGTTTTCGAATAAATTCGCCAGACCGCAATCCAGTTCTGTTGGGGAAATGTGTGGGTTCTTAGGACACCGAATGTTAACAAATCAAATGCTTTCGGGATGTCTTAGGACACCGAATATCAAAAAATCAAGCCGTTTCCTGATTATATAGAAACTCATATCTGTCTTTTCAGACGCCTGCTCTGAATCCTACAGCATTTAATTTATAATTTATATTAGTATAAGATAGTAGGTAAGTTAGAATTAAAACTTACTATTTACTTGTTTAAGTATTTTTAAAAATTTTTTATGTAGTATTTAAGTATTTTCTAAATATAAATTATATTTTTAATATATATTTGTTTTGAAAAATTGTGAATTATTCTTTTTGTTTCTTATTGGTTTATATGGATTATCTAGTTCTTTTTAGTTTCTTTTTATTGATATCATATTCGTGTCATGGAGGTTGTCTATAGACAAGGGTTTTCTAATTTATTTTTATAAAAATTATTTTTTTTAAAAATTTAATTTAAAAAAAATTAATTCTTGACTTTACTTTCTTTTTCTCAAAACCATTAAGTATTTCCTTTTATTCGTAATGTTTCTTAATGTTTAATTCTAAGGGTACCCTTATTGGTATTACTTTTGGTTTTGACTTTTACCCTTGCCTGCATGAATGACAAAACACGAATTGAAGATTGGAGAGTTAGGTTTTGGGCAACTTCGCCTTGATAGTCTGTCTCCTACCTACTCAACGGCATTCACTTATGCATTTAAAAAAAAAAATTGTTTAGTTTAATTTAATTTGCTAAATTAGTGAATTTATTTCATGGATTGATTTTGCACTTGATTGCTTATGCTTCTGAATTTAATGATATTGTAGATTAGTTCGAAATTAAATCTTTTATTGTTTGCAACATTTTTTTAAAAATTATTTTGTCTTTTTATATATATATATATAGGATTTAAATTTGCTTTTTCACTTTTATACGTGTTTGTTTAAAATTAAATTTAAATTTGTTTAAATATTATGATGCTTGTTTGTCAATTTACAGTGCTCAAACACCATACTATTTCTCTCCAGGATAATGAATATACCATGTTTGCTATTATCTAGAACGTAAAAATACTTAATTTTTTTAGCAAAAAGGGGCTACTGGTCTCAAAACAGCATATTCCATCGTTTCACTTTCTACGTTCGTTCATTTTTCAAACTGTTGTCATAAATATTATCGCCCTGTATATTTAAAGAACTAAATAATGAATAATTTGCATGAATGTTTCTCGCATTGTGAAAACAACGGTACCTAGAGCCGTCAAATTTCGAATAACGTAGTCCTCCAACCGAACATAGGCACTTGGAAGCCCGAATTTTGAATTTCGAATTTGTTTTTATTCTCTATTTGAAAGTTTCCAGAACTTTAACGAATTTTTGATTAACAAACGCAATGATTTCAAAACGAGCAATTGCAACACTGTACGAAAAAAAAAATGCATTTTTGTCTCCAGTGCGCGAGACTCTGTCGGAAATTCTAAAGATGTGCTGTTTTTAAATATTTTGATATTGTTGTTGAATTAAATTTTATGTGGTTTAATTGCGAAGAACTTGCTATTTAACAAATAAAAGTAACACAAAAAACGCCCATGTGGGCGTAGTATAAAATCTGAAAGCTTTTAGATTTTCTTTTCCAAAGGGGCAATTTGCCCTGAAGGACTATTATTTTCGTTTTGGCATTTTGCGTTGGTTCAGTATAAATGTCGGTTCACTTTTCAGATTGTTGCCACTAAATATTACAACCCTGTATTATATTTAATGAAATTAAATAATGAAGAATCTGCATAAATGTATGTATGTTCTTCGCATTGTGATAAAACAACGGTACCTAGAGCCATCCAATTTTGAATACTGAACGTTTCCACCCGAATATAGGCATCTATCTGCAAGCCCAAATTTAGAATTCAGAATTTGTTTTATTATCGATTTCATATTTTGTAAATTAATTAACAAATTTTGATTAACAAACTGAACGATTTCAAAGCGAGCCATGGCAACGCTGTACGGGAGGGGGGAAAATTTATGTGCAGCGCGCTTAAATTCGTTATTTGTGTTTGCGACATTAACTATAAATACTTCTTTTTATGAAACTCTATGATCCCTTATATCTGGCATTCTTTTTCTGACTGACAAATAATTGGCAGTTTTCCTTCGGGATGGTATTAACATTTCGTTAGATTTCAACTGTCATAGTCGGAAGCCAACTCGAACTGTAGAGAGGTATCTGGAGGGTGAGTCTGAAATATTTGCGAATATGATGGCTAACATGAAGATGAGAGCAATGCAAAGAGGAGAAAATCTCAATTTTAAATCAATTTATTATTATTATTATTTTTTTTTTTATTTGTAGTTGTCCTTGTGCCTGGGTTCCATTAGTCATGGATTCCTGCAAAGATGTCCATCACACATGCCCTGCTTGCGGAGCGCGACTGGGTACTTATAAAAGGTTGTAAAGTGCTCACCAAACGAACTGAGGTAAATATTTTGAACATTGAAACTCATCTTTCAGTCTCTGCCTCTTGCCGTAAATTTCTGCATATTCTTCCACAAACTATATTTTATGTGAAGTTTATTTTCCCGTCTCTGTGTATAAAGAAGTACCATTATTTTCCTATTCTCTTTTAATTAGAAATTTCTACTATTAGAATAAATTAAACAACTATCTTTTATTGTGACAAAGTAATGGCATCATAAATTGGCACTTAATAAAGATTTAAAGTTATAATACAGTTTGTACTTATACCATCTAATCGCATTCATTATTCATTAAAGTAGCACTCGTTCATTAAATCTCATTTCATGTATTATAAAGCAGCTTCATCTCGCTCATTAAAGTAGTATTTTAAGCTAGGTTTTATGCAGTTCCGAAGCAAAAAATCTAGCTTAAAGTAGTGAAAGAAAATGAAAGCATTTTTAGTAGCTTGGAGCAGTTTCAGTGGTTTTCAGCAGTTTCATTAGTTTACAGCGAGTATTCTCCATTAATTTTGAAAATGCTTAATTTGATAACTATTTTTTTACGTTTTGACGTAGAAAAATCAAGGAAAGTTAGAGAAATGAAAACTTCATTCTGTCGCAACACTGGAAAATTACCATGAAATCCTGATATGTCGTGCATTTAACATAGTTAAGGTGATTGAGTACACTACGCTCGATTTAAGCACAGCTTTATTAAAGAATGATAAGTTAGAATAACTATGAAAACTTTATTTTAAAAAATAGAGAATTTGATTAACTCAAATAGTACACAAACCGCCCACCAGCGGCCGAGCGGTAAAAGCCGCTGAACACTGGTGGTTCGGTCCGGGGTTCGAGTCCCGGCCAACGAGCTGGCTGCATGGGCGTTTTGGGTTTCCCCCCCCCCATATGTAACAGCGATGCAAGCCAGTTTCCCTTAAAAAGACCTCCACGGACCATCCATTCCTTTCCGTGTAGTGCCCACAAACGTAAGAAGCACGTAATAAGTATAAAAGAAAGGAACAGAAATAGGATACAAATCAAAGTTAACTCTTTAGAAACCTTTAAATCGAAGTGTTGGGGGGAAAAAAAGAAATTACAAGAATGCGTTTTAAATAGCTTCAGGCTTACTTATTAAGCAATATTATCAGGAGTAAAGAAAGTAAGAAGAAGATGCTAAAAAGAAGGAAGCACAAAATGGTTTTCAGACTTCTGCATCAGAATATGAGTAGAAATCCTCTCTCGCCAATATATATAATTTGGCGCTCATTTGTTTTTGACGTTTCGAGTTTCATTATGCAAAAGTGACACTAATTTATAATAATCATCCAATCACAAATCCTAATAAATGCAATATCCTGGGAGGACTTGTCTTTATCTGCTAATAAACGTACACCTAATACTAAAGACTATGATTAAGCTATCATAAACCAGTAGTAACATAAACATTCATTGGATGTTTAGAGCACAATAAAAAGGGGTTTTTTTTTAATGTCTTACTAAAGCCTTTTTATCCATTTGGGTGATGTGTCTGCTCCAAATAAATCGAATCATTTTGTCTACGATGTGAGTATGTAATAAAGTGAAATAGCATCACACCAAAAGCGGGGGAAAATACATTCATGTATTTGAAATGCTCCAAAACTATCATCTAAATAAATTCTGCATAAACTTGTAAGGTATTTTCTCCCTCCTTCCAGCATGCCTTCGTGGTGTAACGGTTAGTACACTCGACGTTCCTGTTCGGGCCCCACTGTAGAGTCATTAGGTATTTTGGTGCAGGAGACAAGAAAAATGAGCTCTCCTCGAGACTCGAATCCTGGACCTCTCGATTACGCGCCGAGTGTGTTAACCGTTACATAACGAAGGCATGCTGGAAGGAGGAACAAAATACCTTATAAACTATTGTAAAATTTAAGCCAATATAAAGTTAAATTCTCTGTTAATAAAAAGAGCGTAGAAGCAAAAATTCAGACTATTAACAACTTTTATATTGAATATGCTGTCTTACTTCTGGAAGAATATTAGTAAGTATGCGATAACCTTTTATTCAGTTTTGGTTTTTGAACAATAAATACGTGCCATTTTCACCTGTAAAAATTATTCAGAAATCTCTTATAACTTCAATAAGGTATTTTCTCTCTCTTTTCCGCCTGCCTTCATGGTGTAAATGGAAACACGCTCGACGCATTCGGGTGGTGAGGATTTCGAATACCGACATAGGCACTGCGGATTTCTTCAGCTTCCTGACATCGAAAATTCTGTAAAAGTTTCTACAAGCGGCACCCGAACTAAAAGATGGTGGATGATAATTAGTCGTTAGCAGGATTTGGCGACTGAGTCCCCTAATCTCCAGTCACCCTTTATAAGGGGAAGTATATAAGGTATTTTGACTCTCCTTTCCGAGTGCCTTCTTGGTGTAACTGGAAGCACATCCGACACGTATTCAGGAGGTTCGGAGTTCGAATCCCAGTGAGGGGCATTGTGGATAATTGCTGCATCGATAACCTAATGATTCTGCTGATTCATTATTCATTCGTTATTATTCATTATTCAGACTCATTATTATATTATTCATTCATTACAGATTCATTATAACCTAATTATGCAAATCATATTCCATTCTAAAGATTCATTTCAAGTAGGTTATATATAATGATTCTACAGATTCATTATATATAACCTGTTTGAAAAGTACGCAATACATTCATTATTCTGTTCGCCGTTTTCGTTAAGTTCTGAACAAATAATGTGTTTTCCCATTTTGTGAAAAGAGAGTTAAAGTACAGAAAGCACGTACCATAAATTTTGGTCAAAAATGTTTTTACCTTTCCCAGCCATTTGAAAAGACCTGCAGAATTGCATTTAATAGCGTGTGAAACCTAATATAAGAAGCAAGAATGGTATGATATTAAACAGTCCAAAATAAAGAGGGAATAACATAATGTAGTGTAGAATCATAATCGACTTTCAGAACTGGGAAGACAACAAGCAAATCGGAACGTTTAAAAGTGCTAGCAGTGACCATTTAGTGCATTTAAATGAAAATAGGAAATTTTAAAGGCCTTAATAACTGCCACAAAAAGAACAGTTGGATAATGAGATATGTAGTACACCGGGGCGCATAATTCACAAGTGCACATCAGTATCGCCACCGAAGGAGTGGTTTCAAAAATACACCAATGAGCTCCTATTGCTGTTTTGACACTGAACCTTTGAAACTGCATATGTGCATATGCTGTTGTTTACGTTTTGTTCCGCAGTTATAAAGGTACAGCGTATAAATAAATATTGCAATCATTTTAGTATAAAATCTGGTAATGTTTTCATTTTATAAGTTTTTTAATCGTCAACATTTCACTTTTGCGAAACTTATCACGCACTGGTTAATGCTCGTGGCATTTTATTTCTCTTTAAATCGAGAAAAATGACTCAAGCTACAACTAGCCTCTAATATTATGCATTTACTAACACCCGTAGATTAAGAGAATTCGAGTGTATAACTTTTTTTATTGAGCTGATAATAAGTGTTGTAATGAATCTAGTATTTTATTATCACAGTGCTTGCATTCCTTTGATTTTGAAAGTGTAAGATTCAGAATGATCTTATTACCTGTTGCTAACACTGAAAGTTACATATGAATAAATTAAATGCATTCTTCGTGAATAAAATAAATTCATCCTGCTTGAAGAGGAATTCTTCTGTAAGCAATACATTTTAGAGTGAACATTTATTAATGTGAAATTCAACGCACTAAATGTGTAGGAATGCAAATTGAATAAAATTTTGCATTGGTTGTTATTGTATAACATCTGTCTCATATAGACTTCTATAAAAATGCTAAGACTTCTACGATTTACATATAAAATTTTGTTTACATTTGATCTAACTTCGCACTGAAAATTGAATATGAGTAGAAATCCTCTCTCTCCAATATATATAATTTGGCGCTCATTTGTTTTTGACGTTGTCGAGTTTCATTATGCAAAAGTGACACTAATTTATAATAATCATCCAATGACAAATCCTAATAAATGTAATATCCTGGGAGGACTTGTCTTTATCTGGTAATAAACGTACGCATAATACTAAAGACTATGATTAAGCTTAAATTATTTTGTACAGGAAATGTGCTTTAATTATTTTGTACAGGAAATAGCGTGGCAAAACTTTTCCAACAATCTTGCTTAAAAGCGCGGCAAAGGTCATGTGTAATGCTAGAAATATTACTGGAAGCCCATTGGTCATTCTAGAAGCCATCCCCCCCAGTGGCGATACAAATGTGCACTTACGAAATATGCGGAAGGGGCAACGAGCGAAAGAATCATCTCTTATATCCGTTTAGGAGGCTATGTTTACAGTTTTTTCGTCTGATTAACCTAATATCGGAAATTTATGTTTATCAGCTGTTTTATTATGATGTAATACAGCAGTCTGGTTGTCTGCTACTGTTGATGAATTCTACGCCGGAAAACATCCTGCAAATCTGCAGTAATCCATAGTGATCTTTCTGAATACATATCATGTTTCTCTAATATCACAGTAGAAAATAAACATTGAACTATACTTTCCTTCTTACGTTTCTTCTTCTTCTTTTCGTTATTTTAATGAAGAAAATGCGTCTTAGATTCATTTTGCAAACTTTAAAGGTCATAATGTAGGTTCAGTAAAAGTCAATTAGCATAAGGCTAAATTCTTAGAACTTAAATAAAATGCAGTATATTGTTAACACTAAATACCAGTTAAAATTAGTACCTTTAACTTTTGATTCATCTTTTGTTTTCATATCACTTGAATTCACCACGCATGTCTCTAAGATTTTTCAAGTTTGACAACTTTCTAAATACCTCTGATCTAAAACTTTCCAAATAACTCGTCTTATACGTATTTAGGTATTGTATATCATTACTGCACATATTCTTCGGAGTCTTCATCCTGTCTCTCTTACAAAAAATCTTCAACTGTTGTTTTAAAATCAAGCATTTTTTCAAAATTAAGATCCGGGACTTCCACGTTTATTTTGAAATATTTCCTGGGGTTAATTCATGAAAATGTTCGAAAAATGAAGATGTATGGTTAGTCTAACTAAGGGGTCTCACGACATTTAAATCTTGAAAAATACCGATTTCTTTAAAAACATATATGTTTCAGTTTGAATATTTCTGCTCACTTTAAAAAAAAAAAAAAAAGGTGTTAAAATATTCCGTATAGTTTAGAAGATATTATTAAAAACGTAAAGGTCACTTCATGACATACTATGTAAACAAACATTTACATAGACGCGTCATTTGTTCACAGCTGTCCTAACCGTTACATAATTGAGTGTTGCTATATTCCCAGCCTGCAGGTCTAATTTTTATTTCGTCAGCAAGTAGTAGGAATGTTTCTCGTCAACTTAATTACTTATTCGGAATGTTTACTATATCTTGTTTCCGAAGTCAAAACTTAATTGCTTATCGCGGACTATTGCCTAGAAAAAAGATTACTATAATTGTCTTATGTAAAGATATGCCTTTACGCACCATAAGAAATCAAAGTTCGAAAAGTGACATAAATTCGATGGAGATAGGACACTCCAGTCCAGGCGCCCGTTGCAATGAACGTCTCGTTCAAGGATGATACTATGTTGCTGCAAAGTTAAACTGAAATCTGAAAAAATTGCAAGATCTTTATACTTTTATTTATTTATTATTTATAGATTTAGTATTTAGTGGCATGCTCATCCTATTGTCTTGGCTTCAAAGAGTGCCACAAAATTTACCAGAAATGAAAACACTGTGTTTCATAATTAAAAACAAAACGAAATACCAATAAAAAAACTGAAGCAGTCATTCCAAGCGCCCAAAGCAAACAAAAGGAGTATTTTCGACATGCAATCCCAAAATTCGAAAGTTAATTGCGGTTTTGCTGCTGAGGATATTTACTCGGCGTGTTATTGTGTCTTAATTAATTATCTTGTCTTAATGAAAACATCTCTTAATTAATAATATGCCATTAAATGCCCGAAGTATAAAAATAATTGTTGTCGGAGTAAAATGGAATATATTAAATGAATTGAAAACACAAGAGATTTAGTACGAAATATGTTTACTCGTATGTCTTTTAATAACTGATCTTAAAACCTACAGCGTATTCATGAATTTTTTTCTTTTTTAGCTGGATGTAACAAGAATGAAAGTTCTATGTAACTCGCTATCATACGGACAAAGTACTGATTTTTTTGTATTTGATATTTTCGAATAAAATTATTCTTTAATTTGATACTGTGTTCTGTGTTTTCTGAAGTTAAAGCAGGACTTTCACTATTTCATTTTCATAAATAGAGTATAAAAACATTTCATTGTATAATAATTAAGGATATAAAATTTAATATGAACAACCTTGCTACAGATTGAGGACAAAATAATGCGAACACCTGTGAAAACGTATGATGTATTTTATACCTGCAGTACAGTCGCTCCACCTGCAGCAGAAGTCTGCCACCTAGTGAGCGTGGAGAGGAAGGTATCAGTCTCTCAACAGCAGTCCCTGCATTGCATGCTTCGATCGAGCTGTCTGTGAGAGGTTGAAAATGTCAGACCTGTCAGAGTTCCAAAGAGGAATGATACTTGGAGCGTATTTAAGTGAAGCATCGGTTACGGAAACAGCAAACCTTGTGGGATGTGCAAGGAGTATGATATCAGCCGTTATGACAGCGTGCACGAAAGAGGGAAAGACGACGTCTTCAAAGCACAGCGGTGGGCCAAAGCTGGCTGATAGGAATAGACTGGTCTTGAAGCGCATAGTAGCCCGAAAGCACAAGCAATTGTTATCCGAGATAATATCCGAAATGAACAATCATCTCCAGGACCCCATTTCAACAAAAACTGTCAAAAGGGAACTTCATGCTGCGAACATTTATGGCGGAGTGGCAATGCGTAAACCCTTGGTGACAGCAACTAATGCTTTTAAGCGAAGCCAGTGGTGCAGAGATCACAAAGGCTGGCCCCCACAGCTGTGGCAACAGGTAATATGGTCAGATGAATCGTCATTTCCCCCATTTCAGATGACCGGAAGCGTTCATGTCTGGAGAACGCCCAAAGAAGCGTTTTATCCTGACTGCCTTTTGCCTACTGTGAAGCATGGGGGGGCGCCATTATGGTAGTATGGGGTGCGATATCTTGGCGCGGTTTTTTGTCACTTGTTGTTCTGCATGGGAGGATCACATCCAATCACTATCTAAGCATTCCAGGGATCATGTTCATCCTTTTGTCCAGACTGCATTCCCTGGAGAGTGACCGCTTTTTCAAGACGACAATGCCCCTATCCACACAGCTAAGTGTATTCAAGGATGGTTCGAAGAGCATGACGATTCAATTGAACATCTCGCTTGGCCCCCTCAGTCTCCGGACTTGAATATTATTGATGATTTGTGGGCATATTTGGAACCCAAACTTCGTTCTTGATTTCCTCCTCCATCCGGAATTAGAGACCGCTCTGCAGGAGGAATGGCTTAATATTCCTTTAAATATTGTCCATGACCTATCCCACGTCGCATTCAATCTGTACACTTCAGTCAAAGGGTGGTCCAACCCCCTATCAATAAAGATTTTCCATTATTTCGCATGTGTTCCTATTATTTTGTCCTCCATCTGTATCTGGAATAATGCTTCACAGGGAAGACGCACATATATCTCCAATATAAGCTTCGCATCTCTGTACTCAAATTCTTCATTAAATTATATAACTGGATATTAATTACATTAAATTATGTAATTGTATAACAAGACACGGACCCTTCACCAAATATTTCTACACAAGAAATATAGCAAACTCCGACGTCCGTACACGTGAGGAACACGGAACTTCTGATCATTAAGCTTTTTCATACTCTTCAACAGAGGATAATCACATAAAATCTCCACCAAGTGATCTCCTGGCATTCAAAAGAATTCCTCTTGTAGACTTTATAAACTGTAATGACCTTTTATAACTATAATAACCCTTGGACACCTCTTTATTGTTATTATTACAGTTCATTATAACATTGTGTTTCCAGTACTTATTATATTACTTATCTCATTATGTTTATCGATTACTTATTATGTTTACCTGTTATTTTGGTTCCATTTCAATTTGAGTTGTGAATTTTAAATTGTATTGAAACTATATTGTAATCTCTTTATGTCCTAAATAATTATTTTTAATAAATATTGGATGCGGGGTGTCCGGTGGGACTGCACGATGTACCATAATAAGTAAATTCTAGATCCTTTTTGAAAGCTTCAGTGGCTGATTTCCTCAAACTTTCTTTGTAAACTCTGATGAAGCTTGCAATTTTTTTTAGGATTAGTTAGCATGGAAAGGCATTACCAGTTGACTCTTGATACATCCCTGGTGTCGCCCATAATTTTGCGAGTACATCTATCTATCTGTACCTATGGTGCTATATGCGGCTGCTTCCATCATCTATGCTTGGAGCCAGCCCTAATATGCGAAGCCTAATAGATTGAATACATAAAGCCGTTAATAAAGTGGGAAAAAGAAACCACTTTTTGACTGGAGCAGAAATGGTATGACTTCTCCAGTCAAAAAAAAATGGTATTCCAAACTGAACTGGTTAAATGTTACCGATCGTCATCTTACTTCCTTGTAACCAGCCAGAGAGACCTTCGCTCCATTACTCCACAGGTGTCCCGATTAATCACGGAACTTGAGCCTTGCTGTCAGAAAGTTATTTTACTCTAATCGAAAAAACGCTGACGTCAGTTAAGTAATATAGTAACTGACGTGCAGCTTTGATTACGACGTCGTAGCACTGAAGCCTTGGTAATATGTTAATTCAGCGGTTTGCAGCCAATGCGTCTCCTACGATCTATGGCTCGGTGGTTAGATGTAATTATTTTAAATAAAATTTATTCAAATAAAACAGTGAGTGTAATTTGAATGAAGTTCGTTCAAACGAATATACAAAAGGCCGCTTCTTTTGATCACGTTTGTCCATGGGTATTTTGATAACATTAAAGAATGAGAAGTATTCTTCCGAACAGAATTGAAATTCAACTAGTTTAATGTAAAAATATCAAGAAATATATAAATAGCTATTTTCGCAGCATTTTAATTAACAAAATGCAGAATTCTATTTGGTAATTGTCTACAATATCTTTAAGGCAAAAGTTCATTTATGAACTGCTTCTTAATGTTTCTCTGGGACCCCACCAGCAGCAGAGCGGTAAAGTCGATGAACACTAGTAGTTCGGTCTATGGTTGGAATTCCGCAAACGGGTTGGCTACATAGGCGTTTTAGTGGTTTGCCCCATGTGTAACGTGTATACAATCCAGTTTTCCTTAAAAAGACCTCCACAAAGGCATCCCTTTCCTTAGGCAGATAGCCCTCGAGTGCCTTGTAGTAATTGAAATAAACCAAAAAAAAAAAAACATAATGTTTCTGGAAATCGTGAGCTATACTGTATTCCTAATCTTAATACACGGACGGCATCTCTCGAAGAGAGCATGCCAGTGTTAAGTTTAAAATTTCTCACAAAGGCAATTTTATTTTGGCGTAGATGTTTTCAGGAATGTTTTTTCAGTCTTGAAGAAGAGAGCTTGTTTCTTCGCTTTCAGTTTCGATCAGAAGTATTTTAAATCAATGTCAAACTAAGATTTGCCCTTTTTTTGCTTAATTTTAAGTGTTTCTAAAATCGAACCAAGCTGTTTGGCGACTTAAAACCTCACTCGGTGACATTTCTCCATCATTTGATAGTTTATTAAATCTATTTTGACCTCATTTGGCGACTTTACTTCAGTCAACAATTTGATCATATTAACCGAACTGTTGATTCCAATAAGTAAGGATATATTTTCTAATAATTCAATAAACATGGATATATTTTCCATGTTTTCGCATATAAACGGGCGAGACTTTGGTACCGAATATTAGCAATTCGATAACAATATCCGAATAATAACATTAACCGTGATCGCATTAAGCGGCTGAGATACTATTAGCAAACCCTCTTTGAGAGTACTACTATACATTATTTCCAGATGATTTGGGTCTTTTGTCGAGGTGGCCGTCTTAGAGAAAATGACTAATAACGATTTCCAAAAAGCTTTATCATATTCAAGGATGTTTATCACAGTTAAATTAAAATACTGAAGTAAATATATGGTGTATATGATTATATTAAAAAAATTAAGAATTAATTCCAAAGATAAATAGTAAGCAATATAAAAATAAAATATAACTCCGCAAAAAGTTATTTATTATCTTTATTTTCTGAAATACTGTCAGTACTCTGTAAGTAAATACTGCAACAATTTAAAATACCAAACAAAACAAAAAAAAAAAAAAAAACTGACTATTAAGAAAAATATACATTAATATCTTATTATACGATGTAAATTTTGTTTTCTACGTTCGCGAATACCTGTTAAAATTTTTATTCAGTGAAGCCAGCTAACTTGATTTGTCTTTTTGTTAATCATGTCTCTTTGTAAAGAAGCTCAATTTTTTTTTTAAATAAGTAAACTACCTTATTATTTTCTAGATTACGAGCTAATTGTTTCAACTCGTTAAAAACAGGGACAATCCTTATAGTTTTGAAAGACCCTTGAATTGTTTTTATTAGTGGTGCAATTCTATTTCAAAATCAGAACTGAAATAAAGAACTGATTTTTTAACTGTAAATGCTTAATAATTATATATATATACATATGGACATATAAAGTTATAGAATCATAATTTTCGTTGCTGTTTTGTGACTTATCTCACTTGTCTGACAGTAACATCAGAACAAATACGCGAAATTCATTGGGGCAGAGACTGCAAGACAAGATCTGTCTTTTGGCAACATCCTTGAGCACCGTACAGGTGACGGTAGACTTTGTTCAGTTCCGCCTCCCATTTTGATGGAGAGTCCGAGGGTCTCCTACCGTTTCCCTACCACCAACCTCTCGAGAAGACTTTCGGCTCCTCGCATATTTAGAGTGCCCCATACCGCACAGACATTATACATTTACAAAAATCCATGCCTTCGTGGGGCTTCGAACCTCCCGTCAGGGTAGCTAACCAATATTCCAACTGGGCGCCTATCATAATGTTTTAACATGATTTGTAGTTTATAAATGGTATTTTATGCGTTTTATCGAATAAGTCAGCCATTGTTACTTAGAAGCCAGTTAGCAGGAGCCTACTGTAATCGAATTACATCTCTTCTTACGAAGAAGAAATGAATTGAAAGAACGCAGGAAAGTGGAATAATCCCTATTATAATTAACATAAAAAATACTATTCACAATATACCTGTATATTCAAGCAGTTTTAATATGAAAAGTAGCCGCCCAGACGGTATAATGGTTAGAGGAGCCTGACTGCGATACCAAAGGGCCTGGGTTCTAATCCCGGAGAAGGCATGGATGCAATTCTCTATCCCTTCGTAGGAGGCTAAGGTGGCCCACCTATTAGGTGCCTCCATAGTAAAGAGACCACCACATCTGGCCTTAGGAGTGGCCGATGCTGACATAGGCAAGTGCCCGTCATTGGAAAAAAAAAAAAAATAATGTGAAGAGTAAATTCAAGGTAAATTAAATCAATCTCTAAAACAAGAGCATGCTATGAATAATGTAGGAATGAATTAATATCACTAGAAATGAAGAAACTAAATTATAAATGCCGTTAAATACAATATTCAGAAAAGAATTTTGGGCAATTTTATGGAATCATGATTTTGAACAATGTAACTAAGTTTTTTGTGACAGCAATTTTCTCATCGATCCACAAGACGCAAATTTTTTTCGCATGGCTTGATTAATGGGGGAGTTGACTGCATTGTTTTCAGTGGCTGTATGCTGGTCACCAGTAGCCGAGTGAACCACCAGTGGCGCTGAACACTAGCAATTCCATCCGGGTTCAAATTCCCGCGAACGGACTGGCTGCATGGGAAATTTCTTGATTTTCGTCTTATGTAACGTGTAATTTAGAAGTCAAACAACAAAAATCAGCGTTTAATTTGCAAATTTTCACAGGACTAGTATCCTCAGCTGCCAAAGTGCAAATGAACGAGATAAGATATAGTGAAAAGATAAGATAGAAATGGCTGGGCAGGAGTTAAGCTACCGGCGCCATCTATTGATGAAACGAGAAAACTAAAACATAACTTTCTTAAAAGCTAACGGTAAAGATGGATTGGAATTAGGGTCGTTAACTAGAACAGAAAGATTTCTTTTGAATGTGAAAAAAAAATCTTCACCAACAGAAGACGTTTTTGAATAATTTTGGCTGCAAAAAAAATGGAAAGTGCGATTTTTCGGACCAACAGTGCTGGGCAACAGAAGACTTCTGTGTTTCCTTTTTCCTAACATAAGCCTCATGTTTTTTACCTCGAAATTTTAAGGCTCTTTTAGTTCTTAAACCACCCTGGCAAGAATCCTGTAAATACCTCAACAATTCACATCCGAAATGGGTCCTTAAGTATGGAACTCGGAATTTTATTGATAGGAAAATAAACGACCCGAAAGTAAAATTTCTTTAAAATACGGACAATTTTATAGCTAATTGATGGAAAGAAAGGAATGACAACAGAACTCTTATAATCTCCTAAAACAAGGGTGTGCCTTTTAATGTGTTTAGATGAGAATTTTTTAACTGCTTGGTTAATAATGTTGGATTGAAAGCCCTTGTCGATAGCTCCTGCTTTTAAGTAATTTAGCTCTTGATCAAGAGCCGATCTGGAGGAGCAAATTTGAAGTGCACTGGAAAACAAAGGAATAAAATGAAGCTTTTGTTCTTTGACTTCTAAATTAATATTTGTTCGGCGTGTTATTTTAACCTAAATTAAAGCCGGTTTCCATTAACACGCCCTCCATGACAAGGTATTCCACGCGGGCTTTTCTGTAATCTGCAAATAACCCATTGACTGTATTTATAGGGTCCGGCAGCGTTCATAGAGTAATTTGACTAGCGTAGTACAATGACGTACTGCATGAATGCGCACCAGCTCGTGCCGCATTCGCGTACTAATGAGCTGCCATTTCGAGTGTGACAGTGATATGGATAGGTGGAGTGCACAGCATCGTGCCTTTGCTGTTGAAAGTTATTTCAAGAATAACTACTCTAGCTACTTCAAGAATAACTACTCTACCCAGCGTCTATTTCGGCAACATTTGAACTTCGGACGGTTATGGGAAAGTTCCAGATGAACGGACCATTGCGATAGACATTTCCAGGTAGAGTAATTTCCCGTTTTGGTGACATTTCCTAGCCGTCTCGCTCACCTGATCTTTCTTGTGCAGACTTTGGGGGCACCTGAAGTAAGAAGTTTTTCGAACATGTTGTGACACCATTCCTGAGTTGAAGGGATCGCATCCGAACTGCCGTCGACAATGTCCCAGTAATACGTTACGCCGAATCATGGCAAGCTTCCAACGCCGCCTAGATGAATGTGTTGTGCAGAGTCATTTGAAACAAGTAATCCACGCCATGGACAATGTCTTACACAATAGTAAATGGCGTACCTTTAACTATTAATTGACATAAGAGGCAATAAATAAATTACAGTTACTGCCTTATGGTGTGATTTTAACCACTTGCGCTAAAAAGACGTGCCACGCACGTCGAGAAGCTTTTGTCTCAAACCGCGAGCGACGTGAACACCACGTCGATAGGCATTTATCGCAAAATGAAAATAACGTGGTGCACACGTCCCCTAACAACGAGATTGTTTATTTCTCGAGTTACAGCTCTGGATTGCACTCGCAGACGCGGAGCAGCGTAAATGAGACACTTTACCGCTTGTTATATTGTAGCGCAAGGAACCGCAACCGTGAAGTTAAATCGTAGCGCAAGTGGTTAATATCCTACTCTGAACGCTGCCGCACCCTATATAACATCTTTTGTTCAAATCAGCACTAGCGTCTTAAAAACATTTACACTGTAAAATGTCGAAAAGCCTGTAAATAATAATTTCTGGTTTTTAAACAACTAAAACTAATGAAAGGAAAACGAAATTGTTGCACATACTCATATATTCCATCAATGCTGAGCTCAAATGCTGAATTCTCATCTGTAATTTACGCTTATACTTGGGGATTTCTTAATTCTTGTCGATGGTATCTGCAATTCTTGTTAAATCTTTTATAGAAAGACCGTACCTTTTTACACCAATGCTTTGCAGTCTTGTGATTCCCATGCTTCGGTATGTTTCGAATCATCCGCCATTTTGTAGATCTGCTCAAGAACAATTTTGTAATGATGAGGTCGTACATTTAAAATTCTGAATTATCTATCGTCATTATAAATCGTCAAAAATTTCACAAACGGCAGATTCGAAATAATTTCAAATTTTAAAATTCCTTTTACAATTGAATGTTTAATTTAGAAGTCAAACAACAAAAATAAACGTTATATTTGCAAATTTAACCCTGAGTTTTGTTGTTTGATCTCTAAATTAATACTTGTTAGGCCTGTTATTTTATTTTAATTGAATGTTTGCTAGCCTTTAATTTCCATGTAAGTAAATTTTATGTGTATTTGCTACAGCGGACCTAATTTTTAATATCAAGAAGCACATATCAGCCCTTTTTACAAAGAAGAGTTTTATTGAAAATTTTCGGTATAAATGTCATTGTATAAAAGAAGACTGCAAAGCAATTTACAACGTCAGAGAATACTTCGGCAAATTCTTCGCCCCAACAGCACACTCATAAGATGGGGGCTGATCAGATCGAAGACTTTTCTCCCAAAAGATGCTTTCATAGTCTGGTGGCTCTTGACGGACTGTTTTGTCGGAAAGACTTCTCCTCGCAGCTGACGACACGACATACACCTGAAAAAAAATTCATATTTATAGAAATCAAAAATAATATGAATGCGGTCAACATGAAAAATAACATTTTAAGCCGGATTAATGAGTCACCTAAGGCCGTTCTTCGAATATATAATCTTTAAGAAATAAAGAAAACGCGGATATCATTATTATAATTTCAGAGCAGTACGACAGTTTGATTGTATAAAGCAAATGCAGAATGAAAGAAATCAGTAAGCTGTATTATCTCTGAATCGATTCAAGAGATTCCTGGTCCTACGTGCATAGTTAGTAATGTAGTTAGAATGTAATTAGAATTCCAGGTGAGAACCAACTGGCTGATCAAGTTCATCAATATTCTGTGCTAGGCAAAGCGGCATTTCATAACATGTGAATCATATTCGATCAAGAAGAGTATCTATGGTGTACAGGCGAGTTACAATATGGCTAAACTAGCTGTAGAGGTTACTGAACAATACGAAGATTAGGTTAAATAGTTTATTTTGAGTATCGCAAGCTCACGGGCTATCTGCCGAATGAGGGATTCCTTCGTAGACGATTTTATGAAGGAACAATGTATATTCACGTAGTACACGGAGAAAACCTACTATTCATCCATCCCGTTCGCCGGTGGTAAAATCCGAGTCGAACTTCCAGTATTCAGCAATCTAACCATTCAGGCACTGGTGGGGCACTCAATGCGAAGACATATCTGAATAATGTAATGCCTGTGTCTTGGCACTGCCTTCTTAAAAAAAGGGTTGGGGAAGTTGGAAGAAAAGTTACAAAACTAGTTTCGAAATGTGGTATTTTGATTTAAAGTGCCATCGGGGAGGGATGGGGAGGATTGCTAAGGATGCTTCATTATTGTACAATATGATTCCAAAGGTATTGACTCCAGGTGCTAAAGGCGTTTAAATAATCCATAAAAAAGGGAAAATTCGCTAATAATTAAGTGTTTAAACATATATTTGAGCCCTCTAAGCCCAGAGGAAACAGACTCATATCTTTGAAAATTACTTGGTTATCTGCGCACTATCAAATGTTTTTATTGACATGTAATCTACTCCAAAGCCGCCAAAGGTGCTCACTGGATTAACACGTGGAAAAATAGCCTTCTTAAATGCACTGCAGGTTTCGTTATTATTTCGTAATGGTTCGTAGCCACCCTACATCCACACGGCATACGCCGCAGGGTCAACAAATTCCTCATATTTTGTTCAAAGAATGGGCGGACAAATTTCAACTGAAAATATCAATACAAAAATGCAAAGCACTTTACATTCCAAAACCGGGAGCTTCGCCCTGAAATCCTAGATACCCAATAATACGGATAACTAATGTGTGTGTGTGTGATTATGGCAGAGCCTCGACGGCTATCTGCCTAAAAGGAGGGATGCCTTTGTGGAGGACTTTCTAAGGGAAACTGGTTCGTATACACGTTACACATGGGGAAAACCACGTAAACGCCCATGCAGCCAGCCGTTCGCGGGATTCGAACCTCGGACCGAACTACCAGTGTTCAGCGACTTTTACCGCTCGGCCGCTGGTGGACGTTTGTGTATATATTTATGAGGCCTCCATGTGGGAAATAACTATCACTACAAAAATGGAGAAAATGGAGAATCTGCTACGCTCGGCACGAAGACCTAATCCTCCTAAGCGTGATAATAATAAGGAAGTATTACTGTGATTAATTGTAATTTGGCTTCAAATTCTAAGATAAATCGGAATGTGATCTTATTATGGAAATTAGGCATAAAATTAATATCATGCAAAAATTGGCTTCAGTTAAAGTACATTTACATCACCTATAAAGAGTATGAGGTAAATCTCCGATATTATTGAAAATCGAACTTTACGCCAGGGCTGCGGAATGACAGGTTGCACTTTTGAATAGCAAAGACTGAAAAGAAAAATCTGCCACAGTTTTATGCCATATATACGGTTATACACCGAGTTGCAGAGCTTCAACTATCGTATAAAATTACGGTGTTATGCTCAAACACATGTTCAATAAATCGTAGAATATCAGGATATGATTAGAAAATAATTTGTACCTGCTGTGCTGTGGTATTTTGTGCATCGGGATCTCGTTCTTGAAGTTTCTTCTGGCACAAATAGCAGAGGAGAAACAGAAGGCATGTACTGCCACCAAATGCTGCCCTGAAACCAAAATAATAATAAAATGTGGTGTTAATTATTCTACTAATTCAGAAATTGAAGAATTATATGATAATAACTAGGCCAATTTGTAAAAACAAAGCAATTAAGCGATTCCAGTGCTATCATAGAACACAAGAACAACACAATTTAACATTAATCAGTTTTACTTTTCCTCTATATTCATATCTAGTTTGTTTTTAAATAACAACTGAAAGGATTCAGTCGTTTTTTATTACAATTCGAATATTCACAATTTTTTAACCAAGGAATACTTTCCGTCTAAGCAGCGGCATAGCCAGAACTTTTAGACCACTCGAATACGCATCAAAATGTCAAAACGACAGACAGGGATATTCACCAAAATACTATGTTTATATTTAAAGCAATATTTTAATACTAGCATCCTAAAATATTATTTTTATTGCTTTTCTGCTAGCAAAATCGTCGCTAATACTGTAGAAGTATAGGTTAAAAACCTCATCATGTTCTGTAGAAAACGTAGTAAAATTTTTAAGCGAAAAGTACTCTGTCTATAGACTTGTCTCTTGCTTTCTTATGATTTTTATTAGGAAAAAACCTCCTTTTGATTTTTTCTAGTACTCACAAAACTTTGAAGTAGGACTTTTGTTAATTACTGTTTACCGATTAACCTTTGAATATATAAATGTTCAAAACAGGGCCAAGAGGAAAGACTTTATGTATATTTGATGTGAATTCATGAATGTTAGGGTAAGGTATTAATTTGAATGTGTATATACAAAAAGAAAAGGTGGACGTTGTGCTGTGCTGATTACCCCCAATGGGAAGGGCGCAGGGGTTTAGGGACCAATTGACAACTCCGGAGGTGAGAATCATCTTCCACCACCCGTTTAGTTCGGGCGGTGCAGCCTTATGTATTTTGAGAAGAAAGAAAGCCGGGAATCGAAGCACGGACCTCTGGATCGCGCCAGCGTGCAGGCCACCACACGACGAAGCATGCTAGAAAGCGGGAGAAATACCTCATATCTTTTCATTCCAATTTCTTATGAGAATTCAACCATTTCAGTTCCTTTTTCATCTGTTAAATATTTTTTAGAACTTGGAAGTTCCGAGTAACATATTCATGCACGAATTTCAGCTTCCCGCTTGATATTCTGAACTGTGACTGCATTCAGATTATTCCAGCAATGAGATGTGGAAAACCGAAGCGTCAAACCTCTGAAAAGGGTAAGGCAATTCGTACCACAAAAGTTACTTATGCTCCTAACTCATCGACGATTTTGTATATGCAATAATTTATACCTTTTTATTAATTACGTGATAAGTAAACATGAATGCTCTTATGTTTACTAGCCATGACAGCATCATTCTTACATGATGACTTGACCTTTGAACTACTTGACCTTTAACGATGTTTGAATTTAGAAATTGTTTCAACAGCGGCGGCGATTATAGTAAAGAAAGATGTTTTCACAACCTCATACTTTAATCTTTTTAGTCATCCACTCTCCACAAAATTGAGTTCTTTACTTTTTTAAATGGAAAGAATTCTTACAAACATTTTCCGGCTCATTTAAGTATGTTTATAAAATATTTACATTTTCCGTCATTTTGAATAACGCATGAGAGAAAGCAATAATAATGATAACTATGAGTAAGCTTAATTTCATATTACAAAAAATCTTGGTAATGCGAAAAACCTTATTTCACGTTTGTAATCATCATTCGAAAATACGGAGTATAAAATCACACATTTTTCTACACTACAATAATCACACTAGAGTAATTAAATAAAGAAGCAGTAACTAGTATAAATGAATGTCTTTCAGATTATTTATTTTACTTATTTCCAATGGCAAACCTAGTTAGAACAACAGATTTTAGTAATTATATGCAATTAACTGCTGATCAGAACTTCAGAAATTCCGTAGGGCACACCGCCCCTTAATTTCCCAAAACTCCGTTCTCTGTCCTGATGATAAGTTACTCTTGATGTTGCGGCCCATTATCGCCTACGCCTGTCCCATGGAGGTAGAAAGTCCTTTCTTACCTCCATGGCCTGCCCCGTCTGGGGCTTTCTTAGTGATACTCAATTTAAAAGATTACAGACTCTTCAGAATGTCACATTGAGACAAATTACCAAAAGCAAATGATTTATTAGAAATTCTGCTATTCACGATGAGTTGAACGTTGAACTCATCAGCGCATTCACAACAAGAATAGCAGAAAAAAATTGTTCACTAAGATTAGTTTAAATAACAACGAATCTATCCCATTCATGGACTATGATAATACAAATTCTCTTATAAGGTATTTCTCCCGTTTTCTTAGCAAGTCTTCGTGGTGTAGTGGTTTGCACGCTCAGCGCATATTTGAGAGGTCCGCGGTTCGATATGCAACCGCGGTTGCATATTTTTCACCTCTTCTACTTCCAAAAATACCTAATGTCTCTACACTGGCGCCCGAACTAAAAGGGGGAGTATATAAAGTATTTCTTCCGCCTTCAAAGCGTGTCTTCATGGTGTAGTGGTCTGCACGCTCAGCGCATAATTGAGAGGTCCGTGGTTCGATTCCCGGCGAAGGCGTTGCTCGTTTTTCCTCTTTCATGCTTCGAAGTAACCTAATGTCTCTACACTCTCAATAGAAAACGGCCCCTCTCATGAACTTTTTCGACTGCACGTACTGATAACCACGCCTCCCTGACTACTCTTTACACCCTCTTCAAATTTTTGCTTACAAGTCTAGCCTTGAACGCCTTACAAAATGTTGGACTTCCGTCACTCTTCCTTGGTTCTTCTCATCTATCTGCTACTTCATTCCTTAATTGCTTATCGTATTTAACGTACTCAGCGCATGAAATGCTATAATTGATGTACCAAACTTCACTCTGGAAGTATATCTTCGTCTGGATGACTTCATGGCTTGGGAAATTGCTTTTGCCTTTTCTCTCTTTCTTCCTCATCATCATGTTAGCCGTAATTCTACATCGTGTTGCATACCAACGCAGTTCTATTCAGGATGAGGCATCCGCCAAGGCGCCTGAACATGTGATACAGTTCACTAGTTCCTTGTGATGCCTTTTGAGCAACGTCTTAAATGGCGAAATCGTCTCCGCAAGATATTAGTTTGTAGTCTTACAAGTTTAAGAAGCTCTGATGTTACTTACTTCAGAGAATTAAAAACGAATAATGTAAAATCTCGAAACTATTACATATAGTTAACGAGATTAAATAACAAAAATGTAAGGCTTAGTCACTATCACTGCTAAACAGGTTGATTGGTGTGAAACAAAGCAAAGTTTATGCCTGGAGGAAAGAATGCTTTTGCTTAGGATTTTTAAGGGAGGTCACCTTCTGTTCATACCTTATGTGGAGAAAACAAAGAAATGCATACACAACCACCTGCTTAACGTATTCAAAACCAGATCAAACTAGCTGTATGAATTAAGTAATAAAATTTAAAGTAAAACCGTGTTTTATGTGAAAAAAATAGTGCCCTAAAAATTATATTTCCCAAAACGGATCTACTGCTTCCACCTCTCTGCAGCAGCATGTATGGCGAATAAAGAAAAGATCAGTATGAACAGATAATAGATCGACTAAACGAGATTGCGAACGAATGTTATGGGAAAGAATTACGTTCCAGACAGCAAAACTAAGTAATAACCTTACACATTTCCAAAACACAGTAAATATTACTCGAGACATTTTTCCTTTGATGAAACTTATAACAGATGATGTTCCTAGATACCGCCCTCGCGAGTGGTCGAGCGGTAAAGTCTCTGAACATTGGGAGTTGGCCCTGGGGTCGGATCCCGGAGATCGAGCTGATTGCATGGCTGGTTTTCTCCATGTGTAACGTGGATAAGAGCCAGTTTCTACTAAAGTGTTCTCCATAAAGGCATCCTTTTCCATAAGTCAGACAGACCGCAAATTGTTTTGCTTAATCAACTAACCTTATGCTTGATATTAGAAGAAAAGTGGTGACGACGTGCTTAATTTTATTAAATACTGATCCTAGGAATATTTTTCCAAATACCATGGGTTTTTTTTTTTTTTTTTTTCCTCTTCTTGTTAAATAAGATGCAGTGTAAGGAGGAGGAGCATAAAGTTTGCTGAAGCTGTAATGTTTACAATTCAGAATTATATTTATTTAATATAGTTCATTTTTCTCCTGGCAGTATAAATTCATTTTTTGCAAGAAAGAAAATTAAATTTAAGGTGAGACAAATGTATTTATTATTAACTTTTCACGAAATTTTTCTCTTATAGATAATGAAGTTCAAATTTTTTTCCCAGAAAATGCCGCAATCAGAAGAAACTAAATTTCTCTTCTTATCGAAACAATCACGCAACGCGTTGATGAAGAAATGAGATAGCAATTTCTGCATTTCTCCCATGTTTTGGAAAAAAAAATGAACAAAACGTCGGTCAGCAACCTTTAGCATATTCGATCATTTTTCTGTTCCATGAAAATATTGTTGCTATTCGCAAAATAAGTTACGTCGAAATTCTTTTGATGATATCTTATATATCGTATATTCTCTCATTTAGGAAACGCCACGCAAAGTTCATTCCAGTTTCATTACTATAGTTGTAAATCCATAACTCATAGTTGACGGAAGGAAGAGAATGTTGCGAAATAATGAAATATATTACGAGGGTTATTGACCCAAAAAATATATTCCAAAGAAATAAAAGTCTCTACAGCTTCGATTTTAACAATGTTGACATTGAAAAATGCCCTTGAATTTTCTTCATTTCCGTATCGTTAAAATTTAAATTTCTTCGACAAATGCCTAAATGTTGACTAAAAACCTGAAAGCTAAATCTGTGACAAAAATTAGAATGACTTATCAAGACTAACTATTAAAACAGGAATTATCAAAGCTAACTTTAAGACTAACTATTAAAAACGTAGAAAATTATTCTTATCGTAAATATATTTTCCTCAAATTAATATTACGAAAAATTACAAATGTTTTAACCTATCACAGAATACTATCATCGTTAAGATCTTTA